TGTGCATGAGAAAAACATTACTGGTGTAAATCTTGAGACAAAACAATGGCACTGACCTATTTTAAGATATGTCAGCAAGTTGCTTTCTGTTAAAACAGCTCAAACATCCATTTTAGTCTGCAACTAGACTTAAGCCTTGTCTGTGAAACTGACCAAAGGTCTTCCAATGATATGTAATATTTATATAATTATTTTTTTAATCCTGCAGGCAGCTAGCCAATTTGGCACTTTGTTTTACACTATGTGCACTTACCTAAGAAAGTACTGGGTAATATAAGGTAACTACATGGGTTAAGGTTAGGTTTAGTTCTAGTTATTACAATTACTACTAGTAGGGCTGCACGATTTGGGCCAAAATGATAATCACGATTATTTTTATCAATATTGAGATCACGATTAATTATCACGATTATTTGTTGATTTTAACCAAAACAAATGTTATTGTCACATAGGCTAATTATAACTGCTTTCACATTATGCTACATTCCTGCTAATGTACAACTATGTGCATCAAAATAAAACAGGTCCTCTTATTCACCAAAATTCAGTGCATCTCTTTAAAGAATAAATAAAAACAAATAAAACAATAAAGAAAATGTAGCAAAACTTCAACAGGGCACTATTTTACATTGTGTAAATATAAAATAAAAATATAAACTTGCATTGTACCTGCATAATGGATGTGAATAAAACGCACAAAATATACAATCAATAAAAAACAAATATTCCATAACAGAATGTAACCAAATGAGAACATTTCAAGGCAGAACTAAGCACTTAGCACTATGGAAGTTCGATTAATGGATGAAATTCAGAGTCATTGTTATTTGACGCTCAAGAAATGTAAAATGTTGTGGTACAGTGTCAGTGATTAGTCTTACTGCATAAATTGAATCTTATTTAATCCTCCAAAGTGTATGTGCTTGAATTATTTCTACTTATTAAACAATAGTTCAAAACAAGAGTTTGTAGTACTGATTATTGGAGTCCATTAATCGAACTTTCATGCCATATTAATATGTAGTATGTATGTACCAATTTACTAATGCTCACACTCGGTCTCTCACGCGCACCGTCACTCGGTCTCTCTCGCGCGCAGACACAATCGGTCTCTCTCGCGCGCTGTCGCTCGTACGCAGACACACTCGGTATCTTTCGCGCACTTTCGAGCGCGCTCTTGGACACTCGGTCTCTCGTGCACTGTCGCTCGCGCGCAGACGGTCTCTCTCGCGCACTCGGGCTCATGGAGGCACGTGATCAGACAGTGGTTTACGGAGCGCTAGATTGGCTTTACAAAAAAAAAAACCCTTTGATACGGAGTGTTCTGTGAATGTAATGACGCATTTTAAATATCGCTCGGTCACGCGAATTTGATCGTGGGAAGCCAAAATCGCGATCGTGATTAAAATTCGATTAATCGTGCAGCCCTAACTACTAGTACATAGGATGTACATGGGGAACATGGCTGTAAAATAAAGTGCTACCCTAATTTGAAGACTTGCACTTTTGAAGCAAAACCATTCAGAAAAATTAAGGATCAAGTGTAACCAACAATCACCTTGTGAAAAATGTACATAACTGAATTTGAAACTGGCATAAATTGTTACACATGATGTGGTATTATGATTATGCAAAACTAGAAAGACATAAGATGCAAATCATGCAATTTTCCTGCAAAACATGTCTGTATATGTAGTCTGAGGAATAAAATAAAAATCTTGTCATGTGAATCAGTCTTGTGCAATTATGTTAAACAAAACATTGTAGTGGTGTTGAGTACAGCTGCCTCCTCTCGACAACAAAAATGAATTTTAACAGATTTAAATCAGTGTACTTACACACAAATTAACAGCAATGAATAATCAAGTAGCTCTCCCGCTGTAAATAGCTAAATGAACTACTGCATCTGCATACAGCTGATGTTGAACTCAGTGGCCCTTTTGCTGTGATGGCCTTTTTATACTGAAGTAAGCAAGGTTTAAAGGTCAAGTTTGTACAGTAATTGCTGCACCACTATCAGCATCAAACAGAATCTGAAAAATAATTACGTTGCAAACAACTTCCAAACAATTCTCCGGCTGCCATTATTCAGTAAAAGATTTAGTTTCGCCCAAAATAATAATGATAATTATAACACCACCAATAATATTTTAATCTGCTCACACAGATTGTAGTTCCGTATATGGTGTCGCCTAATAGTGGCACATAAATTCCTTAAGTAACCTTTAATTGTCTTAATTATTCTAAAAATATCAATAAACCACAACATTAAAATAGAATTGAAGTCATTTAACATTCCAAAGATTGACTTCCAAACTCTCCTTTCAGAAAAAAACCAAAATACTACATTTGCTTAAAAATCAAATAATTTATTTATAATTTTTAAACCAGGTCTGTTGTCCACTTGAAAACAAAGAAACTTTTGCAAGACATTTTGTCAGGGGTGAAAGTGGGAGAAACAAGGGTGGAGAAAATGTTCATCAACATGCAAACGGTCGCTCTTCCCCCAGCAAAATGGATCCATGTTTGAGGTGCAGATCTCACTCGTCCAAATCATCAGCTGAAAGTACAAGAGTTACACTAACTACAACATAAACTCCACCGTTTACAAGGGTGATATTTAGCCACAAGTGCAGATTCAAAACGAGTCCCATCATTGAATGATTCCCCAAAACAGAAGCCAGTCAGATTAGTGTCCACATCATCTAAATATGTGATCTTACCCAGCTAGAACCTGCCAGCTGTTCGGTCTAAAGCTGATGGACAAACCACAAAAGTCAGATATTGGCAGTGCAAAAAACATCATCGTGCCAACCACCAGTATTTCTCCAATACGAAAATATGGGCAGCATAGAATGGCAAAGTTGGCATCTTGTGAAAAGCATTTTAATAAAAGGATAGTTCATCAAAACAGAAAATTGTCTTTATTAAACTCACCCTCGTGTCATTCCAGACTTACTTCTGCAGAACACATTTTGAAGAATGCTTCGACCATTTTTGTCTATACAATATAAATCTAATGTTCTTTTGACCCCAAGTGGCATTGTGGGGGGGGGGAAAACAGATTTATCCAAATGTCTGCTAGTGTGTTCTACAGACGACAAAAACTACGTAATCTTGGAAAGACATGAGGGTGACTAAATGATGATGTTGAATGTGAACAATCCCTGTATTTCAAGCTAAATTTACATCTGCCATCTAAAAACTTAGATGGTCTGTTTGGACGAAAGCTACTCAAAGGCTCTCAAATTTCCATTTCAACATTGACTGTCCACCCAAATCAAAGGGAATCAAAGACAAGTTGGCTGTTAAGAACCACTGGGTCCTTGAAAGGAGCCCCTGACTAGTGAAAGGAGAATTGAATAGAAACCAAACACCTGAGCCTTACTGACAAAGGGAATTGATGGGACCGTTACATTTCTGGGAGATGAACTACAATTTGGGCTTTAAAAAAAAAAAATGCAATAAAACAGAAAAACAACCAAAAGATGCATAAATTCCTCTTCCCATAATTCCATCAGCAATATCAGTGTATTTAAGCGCAAATTTATAAAGCAACCCATCCATCTTCTCGACAATTGAGAGCAGCAGCTCTATGGGGATCTTTGCTGTTGACAATCAAAAACAACAAATCAAACTTCCATATGTACATTTAGAAAATCAAAGAAACTGTTTCCCACTCCAAACTTGAAAAAACAAAGGGTTTTTTTTTTCCAAGAAAAACTCATGAGCCAGCAGCAAAGCAAAATGGGGGTCTATTGGCAATGACATAGAAACACTTACATACAACAACGTGATGGTACAACCTGCCACAGCACACTACTGTTCAACACAAACCCATAAAAACAAGAACCTCTGGAAATTTCCTCCATTCAATTTTAAAAACAACTCTAAACATTGTCGTCTTGCATATAATCAATCTGTATTTTATGGAAGCTTGATTCCACCATGGAATAAAAAAATTTTTTTTAAAGATAATTGCGACTTTTTTTCCTCACAATTGCGAGTTTACATCTCGGAATTAAAAAAAAAAAATCTCCGAATTGGGGGATATAAAGTTGCAGTAAAATTCTAACTTTATAACTCGCAATTCTGACATTATAACTCACAACTGAGAGAAATAAAGAAATTGCTTTTCTAACAAATGCAACTTTTTACATTATAACTCGCAATTCTGACATTATAACTCGCTATTGTGAGAAATATAATTACTTTCTAACGATTGCAAGTTTATATCTCGCAATTCTGTCTTTTCTCAGAATTGTGAGATTTAAACTCGCAACAATTGCGAGTTATAAAGTCCAATTTTGAGGAAAAAAAGACTGACAAGCCTGACTGAAAGTCGCAATTGCGTGTAATAGTCAGAATTGCGAGATTCTGAGAAAAATGTGTCACAATTGGAAGTTTATATCTCGCAATTGGGACTATTACACGCAATTGCACCTTTACATTGGGCAATTTCGAGAGAAAAAAAGTCATATTTGTGAGATAAAATGGCAATTATCTTTTCTATTTTTTATTCCAAGGCGGAAAACAAGCATCCATAGTTTCATGACTTTAAAGCAACTATTTGCATGAGTCCAATGGAGCAACTGAGCTGGTGAGATCTGTAGTCTGTCCTTTACTGGTCCACTAAAGCAGTGGCGGACCAGGGAAATATACAGAGCACAAATTCCCTATCTAATCAGTGCAAAAATGAGAAGTGCGTCTGTTTGAGGTTCATTTCTCTAGTTCAGCATATCCAAACATTGTATCAGACATGGAAAGGGAGTATCTATGATGAAGTCTGTGGTAAAAAAGTACTGAAAAAAAACAGGGAATACTCTCCTTTTAGGCCATTTAGTAATTGGTTTTCATTCATTTTAATTTAGTTGTACAAAACACTTATGTCAGAATCACAAGCCACATAAACCAATATGGCAAACCGTGAGCTAATAAGACCAACTTAAAAGAGCAGAGATGCCGTCTGCACGGTTTCGCAGCACTCAGGTTAAAGTGTATGTTAGTTTGTCGTAGATCAAACTTCTAAAGCAGACAAGGCTCTGCTCAGTGTTTTCCAAAACATAAAATAAACACATAAAATAAACCACAGACCCCCGTACGCACAAAAACAACGCAAAGTAGCAGGCACAATCGCAACCTGCAATGCTCCCGTGCACCCTCTTTTAGAAAAACTAAATTGTAAAACAAAAATCGATTTGAGTAGTTTCGTTGAGTCGGTTTAAACACATTTTTATCCTTCGCATTGTGATTGTTCATAAAAAAACGACAAACAAAAAACAAACTAAGTGTGGCGCACTGTTTGCTTTCGGCACGATTCATTTCTCCAATGCCGTCGACACATTCTGCCCATCCGCCTCCAATGCCTGACGCAAATACACGGAGGTCTTAAGCCAGGCTATTGACATCTGAACATCGAAGCCAACGCGTGTTTTTCTTTTCGCCGTCAATGTCATATTAGTACCCGACTTTGAGCATCTTTTTCTTTTCTGCAATGACCTCTCTTTTGTTTACACAAAAAGTTCTTAAAACACTTTATTATGATTGGTTGAAATTTCCCTCAGAGTTTCCCCTTTGTGGCTCAGCAGAGGTCGAGTGTCTTTCTATTGATGGGAAGTCAGGTGGTCTGAGCCGAAGGACTGGGGCGGAGGAAGAGGAGGCCAAAGGGATGGAGAAAGAGTTGAGGGACCCCCGTAGTTTGATTTAGCGAAGCCAGAGTTTAAGCCGAAGTGCGTCCACTCCGTTTAAATAATATCTAAACAGCCGCTTGTCCCTGACAAAGCCCAGGTTCTCATAGAGTTTCAGGGCTGATTTGTTGGTGATTTCTGTCTCTAGCACCACCTGAGGATGAAAATAAAGCATATAGAAATAATGGGCATAGCATAGGTTTCCAAACACATTCTTACATGTGAAACATAAGTGAGGGGAAAATAGAAGTTGAGGCATATTTGGAATGGCGTAGTACCACATACTCATTCACACCTGGTCACTTCATGCATTTTTAGTACTGATCGGATAGCGGATTTGTTAAAGGGGTCATATAATGGTACATGCACTTTTACAAGTTGATTGTACTGAAATGTGTGTTGGCAGTGCCTGTACACAACCATCATAAAATGATAAAAATCCATCCAGTGTTTTTGTTTTAATCTCCTTATATGTTTTTCCCTGCCTCAAATCGAGCCGTTCGAGCCTGTGACGTCACACGCTCGGAAGCCCCTCCCACGATTGTTGATTGACAGCAACGTTTCAACACAGACCCGCCCTCGCTCGTGAGCCAGCGCGGCGGACCGGCGCGGTCATTGTTGATATGCTGGAGCACTGTCTATGAGCAGAATGGCGTCTAAGCGATTGTGGTGTTCTGTTCTTGGGTGCAATAACGAACACAGCAGTCATTTTAATGTTCCTAAATCCGAACCGCTGAAGACGCAGTGGCTGAGTTTGTTTTCGAAGGGAATATTCCCCACGAGCAACGTCAATGCGTTCATGTTTGCGCGAATCATTTCTCACCAGACTGCTTTATAAACGAGGATCAGTATAAAGCTGGTTTAGCTAAGAAGCTGCTCCTGAATAAAGGATCGGTACCAGCTATTCGTGTTCCTGCTGAACCTCTAGAACAACTGAAGTGAGTAACGTTTTATTAAACTTTATATTCATATTTATATTAATCTTTGCAAATCGCTAGCTGCACGCTTCACAATGAATGCGTCTAAGGTTTACACTCAGGGTACATTACGGCTTGTTTTCTATGTACGACGTTCTCAATATAATTCATAATCCCACGTTTATACTGAACAACACGTTATGGTTATTGTGTTATTGTGTTACAAACGGTGTACGCACAGAAGAGAGGCGGAGTCAGCAAAGCTCATTATCATTTAAAGGCATATGCACTGAAACGGCGTGCTGAAAACAGAGCTGTTTTTGACCAAGTAAAATAAGTGTTTTCTTACAATACTAATGAGAATTTTTAATTAAAGTATATTACAAACTTTTAATTTAGACCCTAAAGAATCATAGTAGCTTGTACAAAAATGGCATTATATGACCCCTTTAAAACGGTTCAATTTACACTTGGCCACATAAATGGGTCTTAGCAAAATTAATATAAATCAAAGAAAAACGCTTTACATGTGGAAGGGGGAATCTCCTCAACCACCACCAATGTGCAGCATCCCCCTGGATGATGCGACGGCAGCCATATTGTGCCAGAAGCCCACCACACACCAGCTTGCTGGTGGAGAGGAGACAGGGTATATATGAAGCCAATCATGGGGATGATTAGGAGGCCATGATGATGGACAGAGGCCAAGGGGCAAATTTGTCCATGATGCCGGGGTTACACCCCTACTCTTTTCCGAAGGACATCCTGGGATTTTTAGCTATCCGATCAGAGGAAACACATGAAGAGACCAGGTGTAAACAGTCGCTTAATTGAAACATTATTTTACTTTTTTACATTATGGGTATATTAAAGTGATCAAAAGTGACAGTAACGACTTTTATAATGTTACAAAAGATTTGTATTTTAAATAAATGCTGTTCTGTTCAACTTTCCTTTTGATTCTTTCATTTGCAAAATCCTGAGAAACAAATCTATCACTGTTTCCACAAATATACTATTATATTTATATTATATTACATATATATATATATACTACAGCACAACTATTTTCAACATTGATAATAATAAGAAATGTTTCTTGAGCAGCAAAAAAACATTAGAATGATTTCTGAAGGATCATGTGACACTGAAGACTGGAGTAATGATGCTGAAAATTCAGCTTTGATCACAGGAATAAATTACATTTTAAAATATATTAAAATAGAAAACAGATATTTTAAATTGTAATAATATTTCACTATGTTGTTACCGTTTTTACTGTATTTTTGGACAAATAAACGCAGATCATAAGAGACGTCTTTCAAAAACATAAAAAAATCTCGCCGACCCCAAACTTTTGACCGGAAGTGTATTTGATTTTTTTTTTTAAATAGAGTAAAAAAAGTAATACAGTGAAATATTATTACAAATTAAAATAACTTTTTATTTGAATTTATTCCTGTGATGCAAATCTGATTTTTCAGCATCATTACTTCAGTCTTCTGTCACATGATCCTTCAGAAATCATTCGAATATGATGATTTGCTGCTCAAGAAACCTTTCTTATAATTATAATTATCAATGTTGAAAATTGCTAAATAAAAGTATTTAAGTATTTAAACTTTTGTATGGCACTGTACACATGCAGTTGCAGAATACAACCTGACGGCTTAACCTTGGATATTAATGTATCTCAATGTAATATTACTGATCTTCTATTTAAGAAAATAATATAAAAATGGACAGTAATGAGTATTATGGCATGATATTTCCTTGCTTCTCACTTTTTACTGAAAACACTATATAACATTTTTACACAAAATTAAATAAACTGCTAATTTGTATCTTAAATACTCAGCAGAATCACATTTAGCAGCATATATCATGAAAAATAGCATTAGTTTCTGAGATCCAACATCAGTACACATGACAAAATGTAGCATAAGGCAGTTTAAAACATGTATTACTATATAATAAATGTACTATTTTAAAAATAAACGTATTATACTAATTTTAAAGGAAATTCTAAGAAAGATACTTTGAATGCCAATAGCATTATTAACACAAGACTCAGAAGAAAAGCATTGTCAACCTCGTCTAGGAGAATCCATGCTTCTCTACTGTGTAGTATGTAGTAGTATTCCATTCCAAATATATCCGTAGTGTGAAATATTTACAAGATTAATCTCTTACCTCATCACAATCCCCCTCCACCATAGCATAAATGGCCTTTTTCACAAGGTTAGTGCCTAACAAACAAGTACAGCTTTTAATCATTTATAATACATTTCCACTATTACATATACCGATTGAATATGGTAAATAATACAGTATGAATGGAGAATACACATGGAACGATCGAGCTCCTTCGACACGGAAAGGCACACCATTGATTTATAGCAGTTCAAAGCATTCAGACACTAAATGTATCCATGAGCTGACACTGAAGCAGACGCGGGTCCTATAAAAAGATCCCTTCTGTTGCCATTCTGAGGTGAGGGCAACCATGCTAGCATAGCTCTTACCGATGCCTTTCCTGCGGAATTTGGAGTCCACGGCGAGCATGGCGATGTATCCTCGACGAAACATCTTCTTATGCATGTCTAGCTTACACACGATGGCACCAACACAGTCCTTCTCAACCATCGCCTGTGACACATCAAAGAAAGACTCATCAAGACACTGCAATTCATATGGTGAACTGTGCAAAACAATGACAAATATCTCTAATACTAGGCTCAAGATGAGAATTACACCACCCTGAATCCGTTCAAAACGATATAAATACACTTCAACACCGTGGAATATACCATTCTGGTACTTTTTAATAAAACCACAGGTAAAACCATGATATGGACTCGTCCACATGACCATGGTTAGATCCCGGTTTTTGTTGTGAAACTACAATACTCACCATCTGTTTAATAAAAAAATACCCTTACAAAATACTGCGGAGTGATGGTATGTCCCACTGTACTGAATGATTAATTAACCCACCCTAGTACTAACAATACTATGGTATCACATCAGTGTCAAAAATGCATGATATTATCACAGAAAATGCGTACCATGACACTTTTTGATACTCGTCTGTTATGGAAGCATACATCCTTACTCACTAACAGATTATATAAATATTAAACATCATTCTTGCAAAAGATACAATAAATAATATTTAGTGTTACAACAGTAAATAGTCATATGGTTACATCTGAATCACTTAAGCAATATGACATTTAAAAAAGGACAAACATATGAAAATACAATATATAAACAATACGATACGAATATATAAAAAATAAATTGTGTTTTGGCCATTTCATGTTTTTTGATAAACCATGGTAATATATGGTAGCATGGACATACCTTATACTTGGCATATCATTTAAATACCACGATATATGAAAAAGCTAATCAATCAGTAACATTTTATACATCACTGTAGCATGATATTACCATCACTGTATTATGGACATGTTACATTTGATTATATCAGAGATGATGTTGGGTGCTCTGATATTGATCTTTTGGTTGTTTTTTTGGGGTACTCATCTCATCTGTCAGTAGAAAATCACGGAAAATTTTCAGAAGGGTCAGAATGTGATTTAAACTGGGCATGTAGTAAAAAAAATAATTTGACAATCATTTAAAATATAATGTTTTCTTGAAGATGGTTATATGACATATAATGGGTATATGTTTAGACTCCTTTTTTTTTTGGACATGTAGGCTACTATAGTAATGCCATGTTTATGTTGAACAGTGATATCATGCTATTTTTTTATTTACATTGGAATATCATTTAAATAGCAAGATATACGAAAATACTAATCAGTACCATTTTATCCGTGTTACACATTTTGTTATGTTGTTGAATGCTTTGATATTGATTTCTTCAACACCATCAAGAATAACTGAATGACACGATACATACCAGAAAACAGAGCTGAGGCCAGTTGTGAATAAAGTACCTATAGGTATATATAGAGTAGGGCTCAGATAAGTCTTTAGTTATGAGTCGGATTATATCGGGCATCTGGAGCTCAGACTCGTATCTCACGTATCGGATGGACTCGTCGTGCTCCTCCAGCGCTAGTCTCGACATCGCCGCCACCGGAGCGCTGTCAGCCGGCGCCTGCTCTACTCGAGCCCGCTGCGGGCCCGGGCCTGACTCTGCCCCGTCCATCCGAGCCGGACCCGCCGAACCAGTCCTGCTACTTACATCATTCTCCAATCGACAAGAGCTGCTCTCCGTTATCGCCATACTATCATTGCAGTTTATCCCGTTGTTCGGCGGCGATTGGCTCTGCGTTAGATCACTACATCGTTTATTTCTCGCTAAATTGTTGTTTTCCGTGTGATCGCCCTGTGTTTCAGCGACTCCGTCCAAGTGATGATCAGAAGCGGCGTTTTGATTGTCGGACGGCCGGTGTTGCTGGACATGGTTCTGGAGGTGAGTGTGGTTGCACTGGACCCCGTTCAGCTGGGCTGTGTGGAACTGGGAGGCTGATGCATTGGGGTGCACGTTATTCTGGTTGGATTTGACTATCGCCTTATGGTCGCTGGCGTGCTGGTGTCCCTGTCCGGGGCTGATGATGTCCCGTCCCTCATCGTTGCCCAGTAAGGTGCAGCCGTCCACGGGCAGTGCTGTGATCTCGCTCGGGGATGAAGGCAGTGCGTTAGGCCCTGGCGGCACTTCAGCCATTCCACTGCATACAGTTATTATGATGACAGAAAAACGGGGTCGGAATCAGCCTCTCACAGCGAACGACGACAAAGACAGGCGTCCGTCCGGCTGCCGGTACCTGATAAATGTAGGAATAATGTCAAGTTCGTGGACTATCTCGTGTCTGTTCCTGCCATTACTCAATTCACTCCACACTTGCTTATTATGTGCCGTAAAGCAGAGCGGATGATTTACGACACTATGTCGGCGCGTGCAGTAAAGGATGCTGGGTAATGGAGTTATTATAGAAATAAAAAAACAAACATTTTGCACAGATTTAAGGTGTGTGTGCGCGCGCGTGTGTATGTACACATATAGTATATAATTTTTTTTATTAATAAATTAATAACACATTTGAGAAGTATTCGTATGAGACATTAGTCTTCTAAAAAAGCAGATCACCCCCAAACCAGGGTTAGTATTATTTATATAATATTATAGGCTAGTATTTACTAAAACAATTTTAAATGGTCTTAATTGGAATTGTAGTCAATAACACTGCCATGTTGACTTCACACGACCAGTCCTTATACATTTGTTAGCAACGTAGGTTTAAAAACAGCGGCGTTTGATGTATGCATATGTGTTATTTATGTTCTAGAACAAAACATGTAATTCTCACCACAGACTTTAATTCACTTCAAAACCGCCATTCTAAAAAGCTATAAAATTGCAGAGGAAACCCGCCAGCGCGAATTAGCCTTCCTGGTTACAAACTGTCGTAATGACTGAGATATTTCCCCCCCTCCCCCTAAAAAAATCATTTTGGACGTCCTAAACCTATTTTCCAAGAAGGGCCACTAGATGGACCTATGCACATCCAATCTTGTGTGACTTTGCTCCAGAGCATTTCAGTGTTGCAGGTTTAGTGTGTGTTTTGATCGTGACTTCATTATGTCCAGTGCGACAGAAGTAATACTCTCTAATGACATGCTGACTAATTCAACTTTAATGAGCAAAAACAATCCTAAAGGATTTAATGGGAATTTTATTTGTACATTATTTTAGTATCTTTAAGATACTATTACAGTTTTTATTAATATTCTGAATATTTCTTTATATATATATTTTCTATTTCCAGTTTAATTTTAGTTTTTTCAATAATTAGTTATTATTTAAAATATGTTTTTATTATTATTTATTTTAGTTTTTGTTACATCAAGACTTGGTAACTGACTGAAATCAAATATGTTTAAGTTTTGTATTATTTTTTCTTTGTTTGTTTTGTTTCAGTAAAGTTTATTTTATTTAAAATAATGAAAACCTTTTTATTTAATGGTTTTAGTTATCTTATCTATAATAACCCTGATTCTAACTTGGGGGGGGGGGGGGGGGGGGATCTACTAGAAACACATTCTCAATATCTAAAAAAAAAAAAACAAAAAAAAAAAAAATTATTACCAATATATATTGAAATGTCCCTAGACGATCTAAATGAATTTAATGAACGCGTATCCCACTACAATAGCAGCAAGTGTTTTGCAATACAACATAGACACAATAAGACGGCTACATTGTTCCAAACAATTTTCAGTAACACTTTATTTTACAGTGTCCTTACACACGTCACATGTAGTTACTGTTGTAATAACTATAAATTACTGTATGCATAATACATGCAACTAACTCTAAACCAAACTCTAATCTAATCTAACCCCTATAGTAATTACATGTAGTTAATTATTATTACACAGCACTTAAATGTATAATTACACACTAACACAAACACCCTAAAATAAAGTGTAACCCAATTTTCTTTTGATGTACATATAGTTAAAGACAACCAATATAAAGTATGACCCACATTTTAATACAAAAACCGATCTCAGGTATATCATCGATATATCTCAGGATGGAATTCTAATTGTTATAGAAAATCCTATTGGAACTTTGAACACATTCCTTTAGAATTAAGACTGACTAGAAAACGTATGATCGGGAATGGCTCCGGTCAGACTAAGAGGAAGAGTGTGAAACTCTCTGTGAAGCTCTTTGAATACAGACTGAAGAGGACCTTATTGGGGACTGGCCTCGGCCGTAAGATTGATCACGCTCAGTGTTCTGAGGAGCAAATCCTTGTGAGAATGCAGTCTTGCCTTGTTCTTGCAGAGACACAGCAAGGCAATCAGTCGACGTGGCAGACGATTAATCTCTCACACAATGGTTTGCTTCAGTGGAGAGCTCTTATGTGGCTCCAGCTGAACCATCATCATCTTGCCGTCTTCTCCATGGGAATTCTCCAAATGCTACTCAGCCGCTAAACATACAGAAATGACTGCTTGCTGCTCATATAAGGTGATATTAGTTTCAACATTTAGCCAAACTATAGGATAGGCGGCATAACTGATTTTCTATTGCAACAATTAAAGGCGTAAGGGTCCTTTAGTTGCGAGTTGGATGACTGGTATTTTTAAGTCTCCATTAACTGTTGGGCAGGAGAGAGACGGAGACAAGCTTAAGTGGGACCTCTATGGGTCACTTTGGAAACTAATTAAGAACCTCTTTGGATACCAGACTGGTATTTCTCTTTAACAATTGCCTTCTCTCCTTCTCTTTTTAGCCTCATCAAACAAACACAGGGCCAAAGTCCTCTTGTGAGTGAGCTCAAGGAGCCTCTATATAAACCAGCTGAACAGCTAATAGGGAAAACCGAAGCCTGAACAGCAGTAAACACTTAGGGATCCGTCTGAAGCTAAATGAAAGGACTGTTAATTGAATTTTAATTCTTCATTACTTCTTGTTAGTAAAGAAGAAAGAGCATTTGACTAAAAATGGCATTTTCTTTATATATAAAAATATAGTTAATAACTAATTGTTTTGATATAACGGAAAAAATAAAGAATATTATATTATAAATATTTATCAGGATCTCTCTGACCGATCATTCATTATACATCTGCCCATATTCAGCTAAATAAAGGAGACATACACACACTGTGAGACACTGAATATTTTATTTTGACAGATTAGAAAAACCATACAGTAAATGAAAGCTAACACTGTATGACAGCAACATTTGTCAGAGGCCACATTTCCATATAGAATATAATTTATTAGTCTCTGATCCTTTAATACCTGGAATGATTTATTAAGGCCAGTGTGCATTAATTAGATGATGTCAGAGAGCGGTGAGTCCAGATGAGACGGGGGCGTCCCCTGTTGAGTTCCAGATGTAGTATTCGGAGGAGACCAGCTCTCGTGCTAGAGGACAAAACAAAGATATAGGGTCATTCTCATTGCTGATGTAATTAAGAAAACTTATTTTCTTGTGAATTTATTTCAACATGCAATCACTGCGCATCACTGAACAGTGTTATTTTACTTTACTATATATATGCTTTTATAATATTTTGCATAATATTTTATTTTTATATTTTCTGTTGGTTTTAATTTAGTTTAAGTATACGTTTAGTTTTATAATGTGCTTTTGTAATTTTAATTAGTTTTTTTAAATGACTATATAGTTTTTGTTTTGTTTTCAGTTTTAGTTATTTTAGTTCTTAATTGAAATAAAATGAAATATACATGTTAACACTTTACAATAAGGTCCTATTAGTTATTAATTGTGGTTCTATTGGTTATTAATATTATTTATTGTTAATGTATTAACTAACAATGAGCAAAATATTACAGTACAGTAATTATTCATATTTTTTAACATTAATTAATACATTAACAATAAATAATATTAATAACCAATAGAACCACAATTAATAACTAATAGGATCTTATTGTAAAGTGTTAACATGTATATTTCATTTTATTTCAATTTGAATAGTTTTGGTTTTATTTACCAACAACAACACTGTGACTGAATCACTCACTTGTGACAATACGCGGTTTGGCAGATGAGTAAACCTGCACTGAGTGTTGGTCCACACAGCAACCAGACAGAGTCAAATCTGGCACACGGAAATAAAGCTGGAACGAATACAGTGACACCTCAACTGTTATTATGCACATTAATACAGACATCTTGTGCAATACATTGACTCTCAATATCTTATTATAGATAGAATAAATTAATTTATCCTAAATTCACCCACTTTTATATATGCAGTGAGTCCTGTGCATAGAGGGTCTGTCGGTCCAGCAACAGTCCCTGAAAAATGAATAGTCCCCTCCAGTGTTGCCTCACGAGCCTTTGGAAACTTCTGACCTGAGGAGGTACAACGACAAATGTCTATTAATTATAAATAACAAATATAGCTGCAAGCAGCAATTAATGGTCCAACCACAAAAAAAGCACAATGAGTTATGCAAGCATGGCTGGGAGTATTAGACCACAACAGTGAGTAATTACATTGTTTTTTAGATGATTTTAGTCAAAATGGCTGAAAAATCATGATTTCATGCCATCAAGTTAGTTAACGAGTTATTGAGAGCGGTTAATCAAAAGCCATTAGCATTTATTGAAATTTCATCATAAATTTTTACCACAAGGTGGCGTTGTTCTGAAACTTTTTGAGTACATTCAGGGCATGGTGCTGATGACCCATATGGAGTTTCGATATTATGCTAACGTGTTTATAAAATACAGCTTTTTATGAAAAACATTAAAAATGGCCAACGCCCAAAATGGTCGACATGGGAAAATTGGCTATCATTCGACTCAAGCATGTTGCACTGAATCAAAAGAGACCTGGTTTATGATTTTGGGGCAAATCGTTATAAGTTATAAGCAAAAAGAGGCATTTTTTATATCTCCTGACCAGTAGGTGGCGCTGAGCCGAAACGCTGCAAGTAGCCTCAGGTCATGCTTGTGATCATAGATATCCATGTCTCGTCCGCGCTGCTCAAGGGGGTAATCCATCGACCGGAAGTTGAAGTCGGCCGGGTGCCGCCATGTTGTAGCAGAACTTCACTTGCGTTAGCATTTCCATTGACTCCCATTCATTTTGGCGTCACTTTGACAGCGAATAACTTTAAATCTGAGGCGTTTAAAGACTCCATTTGTCCATTATTTATTTCTAAAGAAACACGACAATGTATAAAGTGCTCCATTACCTTCTATGTTACATTATGGCCCCGTAGAAATAGATTTAGTAAAAATAGGCTAACGATTGCGTCATAACCACTCGACTCTCTGTCGCGCTGTACAGAATTTACCGTACAGACAGCAGGAGAAGCTCGCAGGCAATCGGCGGGATGCCCGTCAAGGGAGAAGCCCGTAGATAATGA